CTAATTATACTGATGATAATGTTTATACTGATTATTTTAATTATACCCTTGATCCCACTGATACCCATTATTCACCCGATGCATAGGATACATGGTATACGGCGAATACAGCGTATACTGCCGTAAACCTATTTTAGGTAGGTGATCGACATACCCGTCACAGATCACAAGCTTCTGGCACCACCATCCTACTGCTCACAATAGTAATAGATTTATGTTTGACGTAAATTTATTAACATATTTTGAATAGCTACAATAATTAACATTAATACATATAATATTACATTATTTAACATAAATATAATAAATATAAAGCACTTATAATCAAAAATTGTTCTTTTGTTAATAAACCTAATTTAGACTTTTAACAAAAGTTCCAGATGGTTTGTTACAATTCTATAGTAATACTGCTAACATCAACCTGATCAAATAATTTTATATTAAGCTAATAAAATCATATCACTCTCATTATATCCCATCTTAAGTAATATTTGTTCAACTGTATTTACCATAGAGTGTGGTCCACAAACAACAACTTTGCCTTGTATAAGTTTTCTTATATTAAGATTTAATTTATCTGTTGATGGCTCAGTTTCTCTTGATTCTGATTCACTTATAACATCATCATGATGTTGAATTCTAGCTCTCATGTGATGGGTCTGTAATGCAAGAGGTATATATGATGATGACGAAATAAGAGTTTCACGTCTTATAGTACGTAGCCATTTTGAAATTACACCTAAATTAAGTTTTCCTTCTAAATTTTCCCAATCATCAGGTGGATGCACAAGGCAGTATGTCACAGTAAGTTGCCCACGACTAGTCATAGCTAATCTTTCAAGTAGTTCAAAATCAACAATATCATCAATTGTATTATTTCCATATAATAGGTGCATTCTATTATTATAACGAATATTTGGATCAGTTTCTTTTGATGATTTTTCCAATTGGTATAAAATCAACTATCAATCATATTATTAGAAAATTTTTATAAATAAACATAAATTTGCATGTTAGAAAAATTGTAGAATAGAAAAAATATAACAGATCTGTTAAACTACCTGTAACATAGGCGTTATTCCCGAACCACCTATATATAAAGTTACGTAAGCAAAAATTATAGTTTTTTTTTAAAAAAAAAATTCGGTTAAAAAATAATTACCAGCAATCATGTACAATTCATTCCAACAACCATTAGGATTATTTGGGTTTAATAAGGGAGTTTTTGCGGTTCCATGTATAGAAGGTGATAATTTAGGCCCAGGTCCAAATAAAGATGGAGATCCAGGTGTAGGGTATATTCCAGTGCCAAATGGTCCACGGGCCAAAATTTCATATCCTAGAAGTTGCTTATCCTGAAATACGTATTACATTGAAATTTTTTTTAAAAAAAACAATAAGCAAAATATAAAAAAAAATTATAAAAACAAATATTTATTTTATAATTTTAGAAAGTAATACCAGATGTTGAGACAAAAGACCATTCGGATAAATTTTTACATATATTGAAAATGATTTAGTCATTCTGCCTCCCAATGGATTATATTTTCTAACTACTACTTGGCCTTTTACTTTAGCTTGTAACTCAATAAAATGTCCTGGGAGGAATCTATCATTGGAAGCATTTTTGTCTTGATGAATTTTGGTGAATATAAATTTTATCACAGGGGAATTTTCATTTGCGTTAACCATTTCTTTACTTGTAAGTTTATACCGATTAAATTTAATATTTCGCATATGATCATCATTGATGAAAGTAGTGCTTTGAGCTGATGACTGAGTTTGACTATCAAAAAGTGTTAAATTTACAAAGGAGGTAGCACCTTCTAAAACATTTTCGTCATCTTTCATTCTGGCTATTACCATAGAAGCCATTGTCTGAATAGCAAATCTACTGTGAGAATGTTGTGCCAAGGGAACACTCATATAATATTTTGAATTAAAACTGTCAATAATGCTAGAAATTGTTGTTCTTTTTTGAGGCTTGAGCTTTCCTTTAAGATGATCTATGTATTTTTCTAACATGGAAGATTTTTCATTTGATATTAATGGGACTTCTGATGAATCTAATTCTTCACTGATATAATTATTTTTATGCTTGTTATAAAAATCTATAAGTGATAAAAAAAAAATGAATATCTTGAATATGTTGAATATAAGTGAGCATATGTTGATTTGTTAATTATAATAATCCCAATAATTTACCATTCGTGATATCTGTTCCAATAACCTAATAATCAAGAATATAAAGATATGTCAAGGAAATACTGATAATTTAAGCAAGCATATGATATGAAAATAATTCAAACCCTTTCAAGTATATGACTTCCACCTATCAAATAATTAATCAAATTGACAATATTTTTAATACGTATTATATCAATTTTATGTAATAATGAAAAGGAGAAAAATTTAAACCTGGATGTGAATTAATCCACTTGCGAATATCTATTATAAATCCATCACAAACAACAAGGTAAGCCTAAATTAAAGAATTTAATCAATCAGTAATATATTTCTATGAATAAACTTAAATATTCTAAATAATTTTAACTTACACCGAATTGAACTCGTTCATTAAATTCTTCCCACGTATATTGAGGTAATTGAATGAAATCATCATGACTGATGTGAGCATATAACATAGTTCTTTTCTCATTTTCATCTTCAGTTCTACGGAATCGTCTAAAAAGTTCGAAATGCCACCAAAGTTCACCCAATATAAAATAAAGAATTAGTAAAAATATCCAGCAAAGATAAGCAACCGTCCACCATGTCGTATTGCTATTCAAATTATCAAAATATGAGATTAGTTCTATCATTGTGAATCCAAGTTGTTTATTAGAATAACTGGCGTACATACTAGCCATAAGAGAGACCAAACGTATTAATTCCTAAATGTATATATATATATATTAATGTTAAATACATAATATGAGCATGTTTAATTATATATGATTATATGCAAATTGCTCACCGAGATATATGTTAACCCTATAATTACAGTTAAAATATTTAGCGAATAATAATGATAAATATAATTATAACTATTGTGATAACTTTTTTTGATTAAAATTTCACTAAATGCCTTACCATGCTGCAAGTAACAGAGTACCCCCGAATATTTGATGAAAACGTTTTGTAAATCTTGGATATCCCTATTATATAAATATATTGTGAATTGTGGATATTGTTTAAATTAAAAAAATATAATAATTAACAAACCTTATTAACTGATACAACAGCAGTTTGTCCCCACATAGCGATTAAACCGAAAGCTAAAAAAGAAAAAAATGACAACAATTAATCTTTAATGTTAAAATATTTAAATATAAATGAATTAAATGCGCATACCTGTTTCAATAAATGAAGCGACATACACACACAATCCTAACCTAATTTGATAATAACAAAATTAACAAATAAACATGTAACATTAAATACAAGGATTATTAGATGTGAAAGTGTTTATACCAAGCATGTGGTGTTTGTACTGATACTACTGTGGTTATAGCAGCAGCACCAAACGTTGATATGGAAATACTGCCAACCAACTGAATAAAACGGTGATATTTAAGATGCATCTTATGGTGCTATATGTAATATAAAATACATAAAATACATAAAATATATAAAATATATAAAATATAAAATATATAAAAATATATAAAATTTATAAAATATATAACATATATAACATATGTAAAATATATAAAATGTAAAAAATATATAAAAATATATAAAATAAAGGTTTTTTAGATTCATTATGGTCATGATAAATAGGTTTTTTTTTTTTTGATAAGAACATACTTTATAATACCGAACGAAGAATATTGATCCTGGGAATATAACGCTAAAATTTTAAAAATAAAATTTTATAAGAATTATTATGATAATATGCTATATAGTCACAGAATAAAACAAACAACTTACCACCACGTAATAAACATTCCTCCACCATGGACAGCACGAGTAAACATTTGAAGGTTATTTGCGGTTAAAGAAGAAAGTTGACCACTATAAAAGTCAATTAACTGCATAACACGATTATTTTGATGATAAGATAATATGTTACTATTTGGATTATATGCCATTACAACTTTACAGATAAATAAAGATAAACAGTTAGTATAAAAGAGTATGATTTAAGTAAATATACAAAATCAAAATGTATAAATTTTAAATATTTATATACATTTCGTTAGACCGCGTGAAATTTGTTTCCTTCCCACTGCTTTAGGAGAAAGTGCTCGTTTGAAGGTTATGACTGCAACGTCATTAACAAATGAATATGATAACGAAGACTCAAGTTCTGGATCTTGATTAGGGTCAAGAGTAGGAGGATGGTAACCACCATAAACTGCAATATAATTTCCTAATGAAACATTGTTTCCATTTGTAACCTTTAAAGAAATATGTTTAATAAGTATAGGATTGCATGATTTATTATGGAAATTTTAAATTAACTTACAAATCCAATAATAAAGTCTGCATTTTTCATTCCATTATCATCCGGATTAAATCCCTATACATAGTAAATATTTACAAAAATTGCAAAAATAATTATATATTAATATTTAAGAATTAATATAATAATATAACGATAATACAGTAAATATTACCATTCCAAACCACCCGTTGCCATTGAAAGTCTGTAATTGAACTTTGAAATATATATAGTAAAGATCGACATTGTAACTCAATATATATTGAGGCCAATTCTTAATCGAGTTTGTATATGAAATATCTCCTTGACTACTGTCAATTTTAAATAGAGGTTGGACACTCCAAATATTTTGTGGAAAACCAGCGAAATTTATATTACGAATAATAATGTCTCTAAATGTTGTATTTCGTAATATTAATCGTTCTTCTTCACTAAACATATTTTCATTTTCATACCAAAATCTATCCGAATCCCGAATGTTTGTAAACTATTAAAAAAAAATTTTTTTTTAAATATTTTATATCGTAATTAAAGTTTCATATCATATAATACTGTAACAGGTAATAAAATTGTTTGAGAAAATTAAGAATATGCACAAGCTTACTTGTGTCATAATACTCGCATTCATGGTCATACCAAAATTAGAACCATCTAAATGAGGTTCACACATAACACCAACCAATGCCTCTACTTTATTAACTAAAAATAGTAAATATGTTAATTGGAGTTAGCGATTAAAATTTTTCATGTTACATGATATTAATACCATCAATATATAATTTTGCCAAATTTGCTTGAACATCAGGACGACTGGAAATATCGGCAAATGACTGAGCCTGTGGCAAATTAAAAAATTGTCTCACATTATTGTATAAAGGAATGCCTATGAGAGCAGTGATAGCAATGATAGCAATGATAACAATGATAAAAATGATAATAAAGTGAAATCAATATCGTTATAACAAAATAAAAATTGAATGATGTACTGTTAAAATACTGAAATAGATACTGAAATAGATATCTTACCACGATCCCTGGACCTTATCAAATCAAAAGCTGCTAGGTCATAAGTGTTTTTGTCAGGACCGATTGCTTTTTTGGTTGAATTTACTAAGAAATTATCCACATCTTCTTGACGTTGAAGTACCATTGACAATAGAACCTTTTCCAATCCAAAATTTTCTAAGAGTGTAAGGTCTTTAATATCGTTCAAAGCAACATTAGTAAGGACATCGCCACGATCGTCTCGGATTTGATAAAAATCACTATATTGCAAAAAAAAAACACGCTAAGATACTGACTGGTTCATAACTTTAAAAATAAAATTTAAAAAAGGGACATGATATATATATATTAACCTTAATTCGCTATGTCCGTAACGAAATGAAACCGTTGCGAAGAATGTATCTATTCCTACAAATAACAGTTTTGTGATATTTAGTATCAAGATTATGTATGTCTGAGAAGTTTAAAATTAAAAGAGAGTATGGATTAAAACCTGGTTTAAGATTAGGATTATAACTTTGGTATGCTGGTAAAGGACGACCAAGAACAGCCCCAATATATTCTTCTGCAACCGCTTTTTGATAAAAAGCAGTAGTCCAACGTCTCTAAATATTTCGATTATTTATTATTTTTTACTCATTTAGAATAAATGAATTTCGTAAGGTAAACTCACAGCTTCCTGAAAATATTGATCATCTGTCCAAGAATCTTGATGAATTTGATATAATTGATCACACATACGGTTATGTTCTCGTAACCAAATTGTATGGATGGCTAAAGTGAATAAATTTCGAGAACGAGTGGAAGAAGCACCCAAGTCATAATCACCAGTGGGATCTTTTGGTGGATATTGGTCACCGTTACTAGCAATTGATACCTTTAATTTTCCACGGTTACTTGAAGTATCACGATATTTATTCAACATTAAAGTATCATTACTGCTATAAAGATTATTTAAATCAAGGAAAGGAGTAACGACATTTATTCCACTGGTAAGAGGATTTGTACCATCATTACCAGCTGATCTGTTGGCAGGTAGGAAATTTACATCGATTTGAGGAGTGTTTGGAGAAGAACTGTTAAGAACATAGAAAGGATCATCAGCAGGTAAAAACACCGGATAAGTATTCAAGGTGTTTTTTGATGATGTAATGTCGAATGAAATAAATTGAGCAAAAAAGGTAGCCTAAACCAAGAAGGTAGATAGATATATAAAAGTTTCAATATATTGAAACATTAAAATGAAGGGAACAAAGATGATAAGAAATCATATTACCAAGTGACTCGTCGACCTATTTGAACGATAACTCGAAATTGTATTTATGTCATTTTGTTGCACACCATACATACACATTATATCTGAATAACAACGGGGCATCGGATATGTTCCATTGGATAATAGATCAGAACATTTAATAGTCGTTTTTGTTTGCGCAGTTATATTAGTACCATAGAGTAAGTCGGTTGGAGAATTTACTGGAGAACCATCAGCTCTAAATTGCAGTAATATTATTATTAATTAATGGTAATTATGAACATTTAGTTATTTATTTATAATAGAGTTACTTGAAATTTGTTTCTGTATTTTCTCTCAGATAAGGTTGATTTGGTGTTCCAGCAATTGGATAAATTAAATTATTGTCACTACCATTAATAAAACGGTCACTATTTGCCGGTGAAAAGAATGATAAGAAATTTATAAAAATTATTAGTGACCAAAAATATGCACAAGACAGCATTTCCAAACTAATTTGCACTTATTAAATAAGTGAAACTACATAAGAAAAAAGTAGGATCAGAAATGAAAACGAAAAATATGTACATATATAAAAGATCAACTTTTATATTAATTGAATGCATTTATTTGTTTGTTTGTTTGAATTTTGTTAATTATATTTAATTATTCATCGTATTCATTAAATTTATTGTTTTGATTTGTATTACCGTTAGTGTGGTGCCATAATTATTATTAAATCCTACCTTTATGTCCTAAATCGACAGTCATTAAAATATTTATGGCATCAGATAAAATATTTTATTAGCACCCAAGTTTATTATTCATTATTAGTCAGATTCGGTACATTTTTTAAAAAAAAAAAAATTTTTTTTGAATTTTAATTAGTACTGTATTTATTCCTAAATTTTATAATATATTTTAAAATTTTGATGCATTCTAAAGTAAGCTCGAAATTTTTAGGACGTCCGAAAACCAGATTTACATTGATTGGATAACCAATAAAACAGTAAATCTTATTTAAAACATAAATAAACACTAGTCCAAACAAGATATAACAATATAGATTATTAAAAGTTTATTAAGTCATTAAAAATTACTACATATGTAAATAGATAACTTAAGGACGTTATATAAAATATTCTTAACAAAAAATAAAAAAACTATGCGATTGGAAGATCAAATATTTCTCACTAAAAGACTATTTTATATATTGTAACGACAATATTTTCAAAATTACGCAAATAATAAGATAAACTGCGATATGAAATTGTAATTTTAAAAATTTTTTTATCTATTAAACATTGATTAAATAAGTTTTATTTTAAAAAAAGAAATAAAATTATAAATATTTTTTTTAAAAAAACGAGAGACTAAATTATTATTATGGGAAGGTAGCTTCTCCACAAGCTAGTACTAAGGATGTATCATTTGTGATAGGTCCAATTGCAACTCCAACTATGTATGTTGCTGGTAACGATTTTAGGCTTGATAAATCATAGACTTCGTTAAAATTAAACGTTTTTGTTGGACATGTAGTCTTCTTGCAAATATCTACAGGCTTGCCGGCGAATACAGGAACAGGAGTTGCTGGACTTGTTATATCCAAAATTACAAAGCCGAAGAAATCATCTTTAGTAATATCAACATTAGTCGTTGCTGAACCAGTAACTTTGAGCTCAGAACCAGCTTTTGGAGGATCAGGGCTAATCGATACATCACTGATTACTGCAGTAATTGGTGGTGGCTGAAATGGAGGCGGACATTGTCCAAACTTAGCAGCCCTTTTAGTAAAATGATGATATGGAAAAGCATTGACCATGGAAAGTGCGGCCAAAAAAACGAATAACAAGGTAAGTTTTCCGATCATGATTATTATTTTTTTTCAAAAATTAACGAAAAATTTTTGTTCTGTAAGAATTTTTGTGTGTAATTATTTGATTATTTTTATTTTTTAGTTTTTAGTTGTTTTGTTTTTGACTTCAGAGTAAAGTGAAATCATTGTCTTTTATAAAAAAAAAAAAACCAGTCACCTGATTTTTCATAAATTCGTTCTTTCAAATTATTAGTTTGAAAATTGATAAAAATATTAAAAATTTTGAAAAGCTTTGTATGAAAAAAAAAGATTTCCCAACACCTAAATCAGTTGTCAGAAAAAGATCTTATAAAAAAAGGAATACAATTCCCAATTTAATTTACCCGATTTAATTAAACGCCATTCAGATGAAAATCTCAATGCAAATTAACACATGAATTTTTTCTAAAGGTAAACATTAATAAATAAACTTTAAGAAATTTGATATTCATTAAAATCTCATGATCGCGTAGAATAGCGAATTCAGCTAACCATAAGAAATAATACCATTTCATTTTAATATTTAAATAATCTTAATAATAATATTCTTTTTTTACTATTTAGGAATGTACGTGCGTACAAATAACTTTTTTAAGTTAACTAACAATGGTATAGAGTGATGTGCATCATGCGCATAAGTATATTACAGAATTTTATAATTCTGGCCGAATTAACAGCGAGCTGCCATAATGCGGGCCATAATTACATGCACGTGTAATTTGAAAAAAATGCATCACTATATATAAACTATATTTATAACAATTATTAATAGGCAACAATCAACCAGAAAGTTATTTGCAATTCAATTTTTATATGATTTTCAGAGATTTCCAATGGACTATTTAGCCATAAGAAGAAATTTGCCGATAGCATAAAACTGTTTTCTTAGCATTATTCAAACATATTCAAGCGGATATTGAATATCAGTAAATTCAGAATCAACTTAATTTGGTTAGATCCTTTGAAAAAAAGTTACGTAAAAATAATAAAGAAATAATTCCGAAATTATAAGCATTTTTAGAATAAAATAATTCCGAAATTATAGGAATTTTTAGAATAAAATACATATGTAACTTTTAATAGCCATACTTATATGTACTTATATGTATCATTTAATGGCTATACTTAAAATAATAATATCACATGTTTAAACCTAAAACTTCAATCCAAATGATTTTCAAGATAAATTTTGATAAGTAAAAATTTCAAATTTACTAAAAAGAATTTTACTAAAAAGGATTTTACATTGTAAGCAAAAAGCTTTATACTACTTGCGATAAAAATAAATTTATATTACTAGAAAAAGTTGAATAAGAATTTCAAATACCATACAATACCATACTTGAAACGATTACATTTACCTTTAGCTGAAATAAGATTTAGTTGTAAAAAATGACTAAAAATAATTTTTTGCTAGCGTTGCAATTACTGTATACTGTCGATGTCCATGATCCGTATATCATGCTAGATAACTTGTTTATCTGGCAACTAGATGTATTCACTACGGAAAGAATTTTACCGCAGATTTTTATATTAAAAATTAATAAGAAATTGTCACATAATTTTAATAAAAATTTGCGGAAATAATGTGAAAATTTTTCCGTCGGTGTTTGCATAGTACTTGCCGGATAAATGTGTACAGTATATTCTAATTTTATATTAAATGAAATACCGGTATGGATGATCCGGGTTGGCAATTACATAACCGACTGAAAATCAGAATCTGATAAAAGCCACAAAGCACATGTTAGAAGTATATTTAATATTTTAACGGCGGAACTTGTTTTGAACAATAATAATAAATAATATTTAAAATCTTGCCTGTTTTGGGGCTAGGCTACGGGGAGTGATTGCTTATAATAAAGGTTTTATCTAATGTTTTACTATGTTTAGTTATGAAAAAAGGGGATTTCTCTGCTGCGAGTGAGTTTTGATTAGGCAATACATTTTATTTGGCGAATATTAGTTTTGAATTAATTATTTAAATGTAGCGAAACGAAGTGTATGTTGTCGGACCAGATCCTTGAGTCGACGCATATCTTTTGTTCCGGGAATTAGTCATTTGATTAGCTAATTTATGCCGATCCATATACGATGTTACGTATTATCATATGCAAACTTACTCAAGGATCGATTCCTGATCAAAATCCCTATTTGAAGAGTCTGGATAAACTTTTAACAGCACTAATTGTATGGTTATGAGCATGTATATTATGTAAAACTGTGAAATAACGCACAGGGCGTGACTTCGAATAATGGCCTGAATTAAGCTTAATTTAGATTAAAATTCAAAATTACACACTTGCACGTTATTTCGTTTTATGGCGTATAATTAATGTTTAAATTTTTATGCGATTAAGGTTTTTTAACTGTATTTTGACAGCGCTTTAAATTTCAAAAAAAAAAAACCTTTTAACCTTCGGTAGTACTTTTGGTGATATTTTCGACTTTTCAGTTTATCGAAAGTATTTCGATGCATATTTTTTTATTCAAACTATCAATAATTAGGAATGAGCAATTGTCGCACAAGAGCTGATCATCATTAGAAACATAGAAAAAAAAAGATCCTGGTATTTATCATTCTTTTCTGAAAAAAGTTACGTTTTTGAGGTTAGTTTAATATTTAGATATCAAGAATACAATTTATGCAGTATGTAGCAATCTATGAAATCTGCCCTGCTTTAAGGGACCCGTCCAGAAAAATGCCGACCGGGTTACCCACGGGATCACCTGGTCACCCGGGTCACCCGGGTCACCCAGATAGATCCCGGCGGATAGATCACTCAGTTACTCGGATATTAAGAGAAATTCTACTATGGGTTACCGTAAGTAGATCACCTCAATCGTTCAAAAATAGTAGAATGAATCATAAACATATATTTAGCATTTCGACACATCTAAAAAATCATCATCAGCTCACTCGATGATCAGTTAAAAAAACCATCCATAATAAATATGCGCATATACTAGGGATTAGCTTGATATTGATTATACTATTTTATTATATTCATGGTGAATTTAATAGTTAAATACATGGTTTCACCCGAGTCTCGATCATTCTGATCTAAGTATTTAAAATACTTTTGGTATTTTTATTTAAATAATTTCGTTGTGTTCGCATTATTTCGTGAACGTAAAAGCATTTATTAACAAATATTTAAGATATATTTGTTATTTAATTGAACCTTTGACAACTTTAATTGTGGGTAATGCACGGTTGACCTACAAGTTGACACACGGGTGACCCGAGAGGTACCCGCACATTCTGCTCAATGAATTATTATTTATTGTCTGGAGCGTAGTTATAATATAAAACGTAATATTTGTCGTACTACTATTTTTTACCAAAAATAGGAAAAAAAAACCTGATCATATCGAATCATAACTAAATCGAAATAAAATAGAACCAAAAATAGACAGTCATTTATTGGTCGGGGGTCATAATAAAACTTGTGTCAATTTATGGTTCAGTGATTCTGTCGATTGTTTTTACCATTTTTAGATTTTGAAATGTTGTTTAGTTTAACATCGAATTATTTATATTGTACAACATGGTTGCACAATTGAATTTTTTAGCCAATAAAACGTTACTCAATGCAATGCATTTCTTACGTACGTAGATAACGAACATGCACGTAGTACGTACGTGTGTACGTTTTTTTTATTTTTTTTTGAGCATACAAAATCATGGAAAACAAACTAGAGGAAATGACTTGAAAAAGCTATTTCCGGAGGATTTATTAATAATCTTGAATATAATAAATTTACAGACCCTATAATCATTGGCAAATGCGAATGGAAAGATTTTAAATTAACGGTTGCTCTTAAATGTCTTAAAATCGACACCAATATAAACAAAGAAATTATTAAAGATTTTATTAATGAGGTAATATATTTACTATATTAATTACTTGCGTTATTACTTGCGCTATTTTCTGATCTAATAAGAACAAATTCTTGCATTCATTATATACGTAAAAGTTAAGTTATTAATAAAAATTGCTTACCATCCTAATATTATTAAATTCTATGGTGTCACGAAAAGTATATATGCAACATTTACGTACAAATTCTGAATTACCATAAAATGATAATTATATTAATTACATTAAAAATATTTATTACAATTAAATAGATAATAATGGATATTATAATATGGTTTTACAATATCCTAATGATGGAAATTTACGAGAATATCTAAAGCCAAATTTTATAAAATTGCAATGGACCGATAAACTACATATTGCTAAGGAAATAGCGCTCGGCCTTTTATTTTTACATGATAAGATATTATTCATAGAGACCTTGTTAGTATTATAGACTTTACTGCATTTTGACCATTGATTCACTTAATTCACTAATATAATCTCATAATTTAGCATTCAAAAAATATCTTAATTCACAAAAATCAACTAAAGATTGCAAATTTTGGTCTATCAAAAAACATAAACGAGACGTCTATGACTTCAAGCTCGGTTGTTCGTGGAATGCCGGCATACATCGAACCTCAATGCCTTTTTAAATTATAGACGTGACAAAAAGTCAGATATCTATAGCATTGGAATAATCCTCTGGGAAATTTCGAGCGGAAGACCACCATTTCAAAACTTAACAAATGAAATGATTGTTTCTAAGAGAAGAGAGAAGTGCCTATAGAAGGTACCCCAATTAAATATATTGAACTTTATAAACGATGTTGGGACAGCGTTTCTGTCAATCGTCCAGAAACAAAAGAAATTTTGATACTTTGAAACAACTTATTCCCAACGAAACTTTGAGCCAACACCATCCCATTGTTGTATCAACTCGAAAAAGTGATAATTCATCTTAATATCGTCAAGCATCTGTTAATCTATTCAATGTTACTAATTTATTTCCACGAATCTTTGAGTCAACACCATCCCATTGATGCAGCAAGTAGTCACGATATTCAAACTGTACATGTAAATCCAATCGATATTACGACATCATTTTCACTTTATTTTCCTGATACAATAAATTCAAGCATTATTCCA